GGCATTATAGCAAGTGATACAGGACACATTAATGAGACTGCTTGCTTTGAAAGAAGTATATGCTTTCCTTTTCTGCATTGACAATACCAGTCTCAGGGGCTGATTTTTTGAACCAAATTCTGCTCATAAACCTATTGAAGCATTTCAGTCACAAGGTTTTTCTGAGTCTCCTGTGCTGACACGCCGTGAATTCAAGGGCTTTTACCGGCCAGAGATCGCCCAGCTAGTTCCCAGTAAGATCAACTGACATGGACAAAGGCTGGGTTTTGGATCCTTTCTGTCCCTCTGGACCACATCATCACAGGTGAAGCAAGCCTACCTACACCCTACCTGCCATGGACCTAAATGAGATGTCTCCATCAAATCCCTTCAATCAGAGCTCAGGGGCTCAGGGACAGCCATAGGGGTTGGAGGGCACACACACACACACACACACACACACACACACGCGCGCGCGCGCGCGCGAGAGAGAGAGAGAGAGAGAGAGAGAGAGAGAGAGAGAGCAAAATAAACAAAAAGTAAGGCCCACTAAATCAACAAGAGCAAAGTTCATATGAACACACAGGAACCGAAGCAGCATGTATAGGGCTGCAAGGGACTACAGCAGGTGCTTTGTGTATATGTAATGGCTTCCTGGTAAATGTTTTTACAGGATTCCTGAGTGTACAAGCAAGGATCTGTGATTCTTGGGTCTTCTCTTGGGATCTTTGCCTTCTATTGGTTTGCCTTATCCAACTGGGATGACATAGCTTTTGGTTTTTTTCTTATTAAATTTACAAAATTCAGGCATTTTCTCTATAACACAATGTCTTTCACAATCCCCTTTTATTGTTTGTATGTTTCAATGTCAAAGTGAAAGTGTAGGATAGCTCAGTGTCTTCTGTTTGCTTTTGATTGCAAGTTGTAAACAAGTGTTTTTGATTGGTTCTTGAATGCAGTTTTTCCCTTCTCTGGCAAATGTGAGCTATGAACCCCTGTATTCTGCTAGCAGAGAGTTCCAGCAGAACACACTTCTCTTATTATCTGGATCCCAGTGAGTAGAGGATCTGTTGTGAGCACAGAGTGGTTGGTCCCACTATACCAGGCAGGAGAGAGGCACTGCCTACCATGTGCTCCAAAGAAGTCTCTCTGATCCTGAGTTCCTCCATGTATAGAACAGGGGTCTGCCTCACAGCTCTGTTGCAATGATTGTGTCTGGAGTCACTGAATTCTGTGAAATAGCTGCTGTTTGGCTATTTCTGACAAGTAAAAAGGCTATATTATACAGTTCACCTAAAACAATCTATTGCATGAAATAAATCCTTATTGGATATTGACTGGACTGCTTATAACATGTTAAAGTTGAACAAGCCATGTAAAAGCAGAGTAATGCATTTCAATTTTAAGGCTATCGCAACTATTGCTGCTATCACTACCACTATCTAATTACTATACTGTGTCAGTGATGTTAGGAGGGAATCTATTAAGTGAATAATTCCAAATCTCCCACTACAATCAATTCATGGTATGTGATGTAACATCAAATATTCTATCTTAAATTACACTTTAATTTCTGGATATTGCCATTGTCTTTTTTTAATACCCTCATTGGCAGTCTTGACACTAACAGTAATTGGCTTTTGCAATTTGCTCTAGAAGGCCAGCAAGTGTCCTGGTTAATGGTCGGGGAGAATGATGGCAGGAAGGTGTGTGTACTAAGCACACCATGAGGGGAATGGGAAGACTTGGCTTTTGGTTTACAAACTAGAGTATTCATCAGTGAAAAGGGAAAAGGAACAAGTAGAGACTGAAGAAGAAATGTAATAAGAGGATATGTGGAGATGGGGAATAGATAGGGGGAAATAATGAAAGTATAATAGAAATACATTACTGGAGGAAAACAAGTTAATACATCATCAAAAAGAGTTTGCACCTGTCTTAAAAGAGAAAGGGTTTGCATTCAGACAACTCTGTGAATTATGTGACACTTTTTCTTTGGCCAAAATGCTTTCTTCCTGACCCCTTCTGGTGATCAGATGTCCCTGAAAACTGGGAGTGAATATCTCTTGCTATTTTGATCTTTGCAATGGAAATCACCACTGTAATATTCATCAAACTGTTAAATGCATTTTAAAGAGATTATACTAAAAATTACATTGGCAGTAACATGTAGCTGAACAGATAAGGAAAAATTTGGGGTAAAACAAACAAAATTTCAAACAAATAAAATATTTCTTTCTTGGTCCATTCAGGCATGAAACAATACATATATATTTTATCTTACTAAATTTCCAGGGATGATATACATATTTGTCAAAATCGCTATTGAACTTGACAAGTCACTGAGTGTAGACAATTTTAGCTAGAAGTGAAAATGGTCTTTGATGATATATTCCAAACATAGTTATACCTAAATCAGAAAACTTACAGTCTCTCAGAATACTGAAACATAGAGTCATATATAAATGATATTGGCAGAGTTTCAGTGACAGAGACTAACCAAAGAGCCAGATGAACTACTGAAAGTAAGATGAAATTTTTTAAATCAATACAATGATGTCAAGACACAAGAGATGTCCCTGAGTAGAAGAATCTTCCCACAGCATCCCATGTATCAGTTCATGTGCTAAAGTTTTGGCTTCTGATACCATGCACACTTGTGATTGTAGGATGTAATACAGAAATTGACATAATTCAGGCCAGGCAAATATTTGATGGTTCTCCACTACTATTATCTTTTAGTGATAGAACCATGTGTTCCTGAAAGGTACACTGTTGGTGAGGCAATGAGTTTTACTTAGCATACAAACCAACAGTGGTTTATACAGAGAAATATTCTAGATATCAAATCCATGTGATAGTCTTTCCCTAAAAATAATTTTACATAAGTTCATTAGAATATATTAGATTTATAGCACACCTACAAATGCCAAAATTGTGCCCGAAATGTGGCTTTAGCTCCTGAATGATTAAAGTTTTTAGAACTAGAGTTTAGATGAAGGCATAAGTGGCTGTTGGCCAAGTCTCCAGATGGCGCAAAGCTAAAAGGATGGAGCCAGTGTCTGATGAGAGAGCCTTGATGGAGAGAGGAATGCTGGGCTGAACTAACAAGGATAAATTAAAACAGCCTGAATGCAAAATCCTCCATTTTAGTTGAAAACACCAGAACGAACATAGGGAGTGTGGGACCACATCTCACTGCAATTTGTTTAAAAATAACCATTTTTCTTAATAATGTAAAGGTTTTGTGCTATTACTGTTTTATCCAGAGTCTAGATTGTGTTCACACAGCCATTCTCTTTATGCTTTAAACAGTATAGCTCAATATGAATAAACATTCTGAAAGTCTAATTTAGGATGCAAGTAAAACAATATCATCAATGAAATGATGTGAGGTGACTCCCCAAAAGAGAGAGAGAGCAAAGAGAGTCAATTCCTCTTACTTCATTATCAGTTTTGGTGTGGGAAGTAAAATATAATATTTTACTATATTTTATAATGTGAAGGTAAAACATATTTCCTCCCCATTTATTAACGTGAAGTCCTCATTTCTAAACGGCTATCACTTTTTGTCAATAGCATCTGGGAACTTCTAAATGCTTTTTATAACAATCATTCATGCTATACTATTTTTCATCCATAGTTAGTCTTATGCGTGAACTGATGAAAATCTGTCTTGTTTTTGTTTCAAATGGGCTGTCTTCCATTTTTTATGTCAAAATATCTACATTTGTGAGACTCTGCTTCTTTTAATTCTTTTGGTATTTATCTTCCTATCAGAAGGTTTACTCTTCCAAGGGTTTATGTATAGTAGTACAGGGGGATGTGTGTGTATGTGTGTGTGGGGTGAAGTAATGCATTTGTGTATACATGGGTGTCTGTGATTAAAATAATTATTGCCTAGACAATCTAAACTTCTACATATTTGTAAATATTTTTCTTATACATTTCACTTTCTACCTGTAACACAACAAAGTTGGGTAAAGTCATCTTGTGTCACATATTTTTCTATAAAATTCCAAACATGTTCATTCATTATTTTCTAAATGGCTTCTGTTACAGAGCAAAAATGGAAGGTTACTTGGGGTTGATTTCCTATTAAAATAATGTATTTCTAACTTTGTTTTATCCTTTGCTGAATGCTTATATGTTGGAGCTTCTATTTGCATTCATTACTATTCAAAATTATAACTTATAAAATGTATTTTATTCAGATGAAAAATGGACATTGATCTGTCTACTTCCTTTCTGGTACACATGTTGCTATTGACCAGATTTACTGTATGGCACTGTTCTCTGCCCTCTGTATTATCTTTTTTATATCATTCTGAGTTTCTGTTCTTTCTGATGGCTCTACATTTTTTAAGCCCACATATCAGTTTTTAACATCCAAGATTAGGTTGTTATATCATCACACTTACAATTGGCCTTTTCTCCCTGTTCCCATCTACCTCATCACTTTTTCTACATATCCTATTGTTCTTCATCTCCTTGTAGCTTTCATTCCCTGTTTTATAAAGCATAAGCTCCCATCCTAAAGAGAATGTCAAGCAATAGCTCAAAATTACCTCTCAGAACTTTGAATACAATAGTTTCAATTCTTCTACTAGTTTTCCCTTCATCCTTACCAAATATCCACCATTTCTTCTCCCCTCATTCTTAAGTTAGTCAAGACCAACCCATAACCATTACTTCTGGTCAGTACAGTAGTGTAGTACATGGTATATTTTTTATCTCATCTCAATCAAGGGAATTAGCACCATGCTTGCAGCTGTATCTAATAAAATGCATTAAAATAGTAACTTACAAGTTACTTTGGTGTTGTCTTCCTATATATGCTTTTATTAGCTTGTGCTGGTGTCATCCTGCAGTAAATGCTTGTTAACACATTCACTTCTACCCTTTGCTGGCAACATGTTCTGTTTAGAAGGCATCGTGACCTCTGATTTGTACCATGCAGTTTCTGGCAGGCTTTTGCCTTACTCAAAATGACTCATCACAAATGCATGTGAGCACATGAGACCTAGATAAACATTATTCAAGGGCTTGTCATTGCTCTTAGGATAAAATAATCTTTCAGTTCCCATTACCAACATGATTCTCCGTACCTTGGCTCAAGTCTCCAGGCTCATCTGGTAAGTCTTTACATATGCTTATTCATCAGGTTGTTTTTCTTTTCTTTTTTTTTTCTCATGAAATTATTTTTTATTAGTTCAAATTAGAAACAAGCCTTCTCCCTCTCCCTCTCCCTTTCCTTCCTTTCTCCCCCACCCCCAACCAAGCCCTCACCCCATCCCCCATCTGCTTCCCAGGGAGGGTGAGGCCCTCCATGGGGAACTCCTAAAGTCTGTCATATCATCCTTGGCAAGGTCTAGATCATGTGTCGAGGCTGAGAGAGCATCTATCCACATGGAATGGGCTCTCAAAATCCTTTCTTACTCCAGGGATAAATACTGATCTACTACCAGAGGTCCCATAGAGTGCCGAGGCCTCCTCACTGACATCAGTCTCGGTTCCATGTGCTCCCCCTTGTTCAGGTCAGCTGTTTCTGTGGGTTTCTCCAGCCCTGCCTTGTGTTCATCACTCCTCCCTCTATGTAACTTTGCACCACAGAATCTTTCCACCAACTGTTTCTTCTGCCAGAAAGTCTCTCTATCTGTTATTTCACTCTTGGTTTCTTATGCATATCTAGACATTGTGTGACAAAGTGATTCTTTCTGTTTTAATCAACATTTGCTGAAGTTACAACTTTCTGGGTCCTAGTCCCCTATCTGCAATTCAGAAAAACAGGGTGAAATGAATAACTTGTAATTCCATCTTGTATGTCAGATACCTCCTCATACTCTACAAAAAGAGTAGTGGGTGTCTGAAAAAGGACAATTTCCACTGTATTCTAGAAACAATTCTTCAGCCTTGCTCACAATACCTCACATTGGAAGACCCATTTCCTCTCAGAATGCTGCTCCACTAGGCAACCCCTAGCCCCCCAATCAATTTTATATCAAGTTGAAATCATATAAAATAGTCATTTCCCTGATATTGGTAAGCTAGCCTCTTCAATTCTCTATATCCTGTGCCCCTGTTTTATTTTATTCTTAATAATTAATGAAACTCATTTGATTCCTTCTTTCTATGACTTCTCCAAAAACTCACCAGGCACAAAGACTCTACTTTTCTTACTTCCACTATATTCAACTGCATTCTACCCCAGAATAAAGTCAGCTTAAAATAAGAAAATAAAATACAATGAAAATTGAACTGATTTGAAGCTCTTAGTATAATTCAGTGTTAGAGTGCTTTTCTAGAATGCAGAATATCACCAGTTCCCTCCACAGTCTCTCTCTCCTTTCTCCCCCGCCTCTCTCTGTCTCTCTTTCACACACACACACAGAAAAACACGCTTACACACACACACACACACACACACACACACACACACACACACTCCATAGGGTGAAGATCCACTCACGGATGCTTTCCCCACTACGCATGAAAGGACAGAAGGGGAAGTTGCTGTGATTTGTTCAAATTTTTCCTTCAAGACCCTACAGGCGCTAGAGGAGCAGAAGGGGACAATAATAGAGTGTGATGTATGTATTACATACATAATAGAATGTATGTAACATTATAGGTAGAGAATTCCAGAAAGGGACTGAAGCCTGAGCACTACAGAAATCCTCCCACAAACACCCAGCAATAATGATACACAGCAGAGGCAAGAATGCACAGCAGATAGAAGTTTGTTGCTCAGAGATTCACCAGCATCTCCCTGTCTTCATCTCTTGCTCATCCTGTCAAAATTGTTTCACTTGTGACCTGCATCTATCAATAATGACTGTGTACCCCAGGGTTAAAACTGATGCAGAACATTCTTAGAAAACAGTGTGGCCTTTCAGACTTGACTAGTTCCAATAAAGCCTAAATCTAAGCCATGGTAATGCTTGGAGAGCAGTAACAACCTAATAGAGATGAAATACAGACCCAAGCAATAAGGTGGTTCATGCCCACACAACCCCCATTGTGTGAACTAGGAGTCCCAGGCATGATCTAACTTTCTCCTTCTAATCTGATCCTTAGGGGAAACACCATATTGAGATTATGACAAGACACATACACCCCCTCCAGTGCCTCGAACAAAAATTAGCACTTTTCCTTTCATCTATTTTTTCTCATTTTTACTTATCTCATGTTACTTTGGGCAGTACAGAAAGATTGTTCTGTCCAAAGAGATGTGAAATATTCCAGACATATTGTGCCGGGGGTGTGTGTGGCACAAATCAACTTGCCCTGAGCTTCTCTGACACACAGCCAGTGTTTTAATGTTCCCATTTATACTGATCTGTAATACATCTTCACAGTGTTGGCTTAATCAGAAATGACAAGGGTGGAAGATGCAATAAAGACAGGGGCACATTAATCCACTTTGTATGAAAATGTGGAAAGGTAATCCAATTTTGAATTGCTTGCTCTTAAAAAATATATAAAAGTTTGTAAGATTTCTGTGTCTTAGTTGGGGAAACAGCAGTCAGTCTGAGAGAACCATATTTCAAGTAGCAAGCTCTCAACTTCTTGAGCTTGTGCACAGAAGTAGTGGCCTAGACTAAGAAATTAAGCCATGCCTTGTGACCTTCTGGTAGCTTTTTAATCAGACAAATACCCCAGAGGCATGCAGGTGTATTCATCCCTTGGGAGCCTCAGGGAAGGATTCCACTACTGGGAATATTGTTGTGTTTCCCCAATTGGCTTTGGAAGCCAATCCATATGAGAATGTAGTTCTGACTGTTTCCCAAAGAGAGGCCAGTGTTCATTTTGTGAAAACTCCAAACAAGAGAAGTAGGCCCAGCTGCAGCTCATACTTGCAGCAGGGAAGCAGTGGTGAGGGAAGAGGACGGTGATGACGTCAGATTGGTTTTAGACAACAACTGCTCTCGTCCCAGGCACTGTGTGTACTTGTTCTAGTGGACAAGCATTGCATGTGTGGATACAGCTGAGTCTTCAATGCTAAAGAAACATGAGAGAAGCATGAGCTGGGGAATTCATGTCCACCAGAGCTTAGTCTCTCTTATTGGCTCTCTCACAGGACAGTTGGTTTAACTCACAAGAACTTTCGTTTCCCTATCAGTAAAACAGAAAATGGGCTGTTTACTTCATGGGTTTCTAAGAAATATAGGCTCCAGCCATTTCATTCCCAGATATTTACATAAGAGAAAGGAAAACAAGATAATACAAAATGACTCAAAAGCATGTTCATGAATGTCCATAGCAACATTATTCCTAATAGATAAAAACTGGAAACAAACATTTAGCTATGAACAAATACAAAAACAAAGCCTGGTACAATTATACAATGAATATCATTTTGCTTTAGAAGAAACAAGGCCCTAATGTTTGCTGCAACATGGATGAGCTTTGCTTAAATTCTTATGCTACATGAAGCCAGCTCTGTAAGACTATATATTGCATGTATCCTGAAACATCAAATATCCAGAAAGAGGGAAACATGGAATAAAAAAGTATGCTATAAGTTTGCTGTTCTTGACCAAGCCCTCACATAAAAGCAGTCTTTCTTCCCCATTCTATGAATTTACCATGCATGCTTCTGCCATTTAGTTGTCTTACAAAGGGAATGACTACTGTCCACCATGCAGATCCTCTGTGCATTTTATTACTTCAGCTCTGACCAGAGTAAAACCTAGCAAATTATTCACAGAAGGCCAGGTGCACATTTGGTATTATAAATGCATCACAAAACAGTATGATCTGTTTTGGTTTTTATTCTCAGAATCCTTGTATAGAAATGAATTCTAGAGCTTTTGGAGAACAACAAAGGAATGTGGTGCCAGACTGAGTCTAATTTACTGCTATCATTTTACAAAAGAGAATTTGGATTTGATGTAGTATACTTCCAGGATTTAAGAGTGATCCTACTAGCTTGTTTGGTGGGCTGGCTAAAATTTTCCCCAAATTGGCCTATATTAAAGGAAGTTCAAATGCCAAAACCTCTCTGGCACTTATAGAGGAAAATATCAAGTGGCTTAGGAAAATTAAAGCTTTGGAATGGGTTTTCCACATAATAACTCAATTTGTTATTTCTCTCCCAAAGGATACATCCTTCACCAAATTTATGGGAGATATATTGACATGTAGAACCCTAGAATTCCAAAATAACTCAGTGGTAGTGACTTAATGCATGCTACAATTATTGATGGAATGGCTACCATTGACTAGGATTCCTTGAATCCATGTCGAATTGATAGAATCTAAGACTAGCAGGGCCAAGTGAGGTCAGAATCAACAAAGTCAAAGTAGGAGTGATTTCTATTACAAATGCAGTGTTGTACAAAGTAAGTGCTAAATAAACAGTTATTTACCTTAGCACTTTCCCGTGTGCAAAAGCAAGGGTGTAAATTCTACAAAGTTGTAGGATCTTACTACCTCAGTAATGTCTGTGAGATATAGGCATTAAAAATATCAAAATCCCCTTCTAAGAGGAAGAGTAAATTGCTTCATCTTGTCCCTCGGTATTAATTGTCACAATGCTCACAGTCTCTTTTCAGACTGTATAGACTTCCCTTGAGTATGCTGATCTATTGCACTTGCCAAGGAAATTCAGAAGCTACAAGAACAAAAGCCCACAAGGAAAGCTCTACACCAGGTCTAGACAACCACACCAGTTTCCTTGCCACTTAGCCCAGGAGACATAGCCTCTACCCTGCTGCTTGAAGGAATGCTATCAAGAGTCCTTGTCAGGCCTATCCATGTGAAGCTTGGCACATACAGACCCTTTGAGTATCAGAGTACAGCTTTACCAGCCACTAGTGATAACAATTCTACTCTGAAAAAATCAGTTCTGGCTCGCTACTCAGTCTTAGTAGTACCTGAGTATTTGATTGCATGCTGTTAAATTCTCAGGCAATATGAACAACCATTTTGAACTGGATGTTTTCTGTCTCAAAAGTCACAAGTTGGTTATCCAGTAGAGCTGACCCTATTGGCAGGTTTGGGTGGAGGCGATCTGGCCCTGAGGGTGTGAGAACAGCAGAGCTGACCCTCCTCTTACACCCCCCATCTGCCATGTGGTGGCATGGGTGATGGACAGATGCCCTCCCAACATCCCACCCAACCAACTCATTACCATCTGGTCTTGGGAGCAGAAGAGTAGGAGAGCTGGCCCTACACCTTACCAACTGCAGCACTCAGAAACCGGACCCTGCACCTTGCCAGGACAAAACAGTAGAGCTGGCCGTTGTGGTGTGAGTGATCAGGTTCCACGGGTATGAGAACAGCAGAACTGGCCCCACTCCTTGCTCCCTGCTGCAGTGGGTGAGCTAGTCGGAGCAGTGCTGCATAGCTTGCCCTGTTGATGTCAATGAGGGAAAGCTGGCAGGCTGACTAACCCAGCTATCACCCAGGCTCAGAATCAGGGCTATAAGTTGGTTCACCTGAACATGACCTCATTTATGAACTGCTGAAGCATGTGAAGGGGCCAAACCCACAGATCCAAAGTTGTAGGATCTCCATAACACAGGGCAACAACAGGGTATCCAAGAAGAGTCCCAGTGAGGGCCAGGTATTATCAGAAGCCAGAGGCTTTGAACCAAACCAATGACTTGCTACAACAAACACTTACACGTAAAGATTTATGGACTGGAAAGGTATACTGTGTGATTCACCTTGTCACAATGCAGATTCCACACTAATAATAATAATAATAATAATAATAATAATAATAATAATGTATGTTAGTTTGGTTGGTTTGGGGTTTTTTGGTTTTTTGGTTTTCTTTTGAATTATTTGGTGGCATGTTGTTTTGTGTTGGGAGGGAGGTTGCAAGGGCAGAGGGCAGATATGAAGGAACAGGGAGATGGATGGGATCAGTATGCTTGATATGAAACCCATAAAGAACCAATGAAAATGGGTGTGTCCAACAGTCTCTTATCAGTTAGTGATATAAAGCCAAGATTAGACTTAAGCAAACCCTTACTATTAGAACTACTGCACGTGTCCTGAATGTAGACTTGCTTTGCTTCCAACAGACAATATTTCTACTAAAGTCATCATTAATCACTGTATGGCATTCCCAAGTATGGTTGTTCACACAAGGTTTCACTTGAAAAAATATCAACTATGGCAATAGGTACATCCCTATGAAATATGTAAGAATCATACTGTTTTTCCATCACCCTGAAGTAGCTGGCTTGAAGGAATTGCAATATGACTTCTTTTAAAATGTTTCATCCTGGTAAAATATACAGAACAGGAAAGGAAAACATAAATCTCAACTAACCAGAAAATTCCCTGGTAGCTAGTTCACATAGTGGCAGAAGGTGTTATACACTGAAAAAAAAAATCATTGGTACTACATAGCAAGGAATGCTGCATGCTATGATACAGACTTAATAGTCAAGATATACCCAAGAGTGCAATAGTGGCATGATACTTATGGAGCTAACCAACTGCTTTCTATTTCAATATGTGACCTGTTCTATAAAACATATTTCATGTGTAGTACTATAAACCTGGTCAAAAGCTCATGACCAGGGAGATAATAAATCCCAGTGGGGTCCTTTGTTGTCAAACTGCCTTCTAAGTATTATTTATATATTGTTGTTTATAGATTTGTGCTTCTCTCACGGTAAATCAGAGGAGCTTCTTTTTACAGCAGGCAGGTAACAATTAATACAGAGATTAATAATTGGTCCAAGAACCAAGTAAAAGTGATCACCAGTGTTCAGTTGTGGATGAATCATCTGTGTTAATTTAGCCCCATCCAAGGTTCCAGGACCATCATAGAAGAGTGGCAGAAAGAATACAGAAGCTGGAAGATATGGTGGAGAACTGAGAAATGCTGATATGTAGATTGGACATGACTGCTACACCTATCAACCAACTTATACTGACTATCATTACCTACACAGGACATGCACAAGGTAAAGGCAGCCAAATTTTTCACAGGAAGAGGGAAGGGGCCTCTAATGTTCTACCCTTGGTGGAAGAGCTACTGACAGTTGATGGTTGCTGAGAGTAGGAGAGAGAGTTACTATCTCTATAGGACATAAGTTCAATTAGGTTGCCCATGTTTTAGTAGATTGATCAACACCTCTTTCTGTATGACCAGCACCAGCCGGAGCCAGGAGGCTATCAAAAGAAATAAAAAGGGAGGACATGAAACAGCAGGGAGAGGAGATGGGTGGCACTAAGGAGTTGGAGGGGCACAATAATGGATGGAAACAATCAAAATACATTTGTAAATGTACAAAACTTTCACAACTTTTCTACAAAATGACACCACCTTGGGGTTCTGATGGAAATTGCACTGGATCTCGGTTGCTGTTGTTCACAGTGCTGTCTTCTCATCCGTGAACATGGGTGCTTTCATATTTATCTGTAACTTCGTTAAGTTTTTAAGCAATGTTTATCTCCTTAGTTAATTGCTAAATATTTTATTCTTTTTGATGTTATTGTAAGGTAATTTCCTTTGGGGGATTCCCATTGTGAATCACAACATGCAACTGATTCCAATGTGCTGATTTTATCGCTTGCTACTTAGCTGAATTCATTTATTAGTTCTAACAATTTCATGAACTCTGTAGTTTCCCACATCTGAATTCATATGATGTGCAATCAGGGATAATTTTACTATTTCCTTTCCAATCTTGGTAGACTTGGACCTTTTCACAGATTAATGGTTCAGCCTAGAATTTCCAGTGCTCTTTTGAACACAGGTGATAAAAACAAAGGCTAAAGAAATAGCACCACAGCCAGAAGATCCTAGTCTCTTACAAAGGACCTGAATTTAGTTGCAGACACCTACATCAGAGAGCAAACAATTGCCTGTAACTCCAGTTCCAGCAGATATGATGCCCTCTTCTGGCCTCCACGGGCTCCCGAATGCATGGGGAACACACAAAACTTGCAGAGGCATATAAAAATAAATAATGAAACCTTTGAAAGGTGATGATAACAGGTGGTTTTATTTTGAATATTAAAAGACAACATTTCAATTTTAGTGCTGGTCTTCATGTACATGCCTTTAATACTAAAATGGACTCCTCCCATTTCTAGTTTCTTAAAGGCTATCATAAAAGAATATTTGATGTTTCCAGGAGCATTTCAGCATGTGGAATGTTTTCCTTCATTCTGGATAATGTGGCATATTAAATTTATAATTTTCAAATAGTAAATCCATGGTGTGCTCTAGGAACAAACACATTTGAGAATGGTGTATAAGTTTATAATATGCTGCAGAATTTCATTAAGTAAAATTTTGTTGAGTTTTATCAGTGTTCACAGGAGACATTAAAATGTAAATTTATTGATTTTATTGATTTATTGATTTCATAGTATGTTTGTTGGCTTTCAGAGTGATGACCCTATAGAACTTGTGGAATAAGTTGGGAAATATTCTCTCCTTAATATTATTTGGGGAAATTTTGAAAAGGCTTGATGTTACTTATCCTTTAAATGTTTAATTAATAGCTCAGTGATGCTAGCAGGTCCAAGAATTTTATGTCAGGAGGTTTGATGACTGATTTGTGCTATTTACTCACTATAGGATTTTTCAGTTTCTCTCTCTCTTTCCAGTGACTTAGTCTTACTAAGTTTTATATTTCTAATAAGTTGTACATTTCTTCTGGAATCTAATTTGTGACTATACAATACCTTTTGTAACCCCTCATAATTATTTTTATTCTCTATATAATTGATAGGTTTCATTATAGACTTAGTTTATCACATTTAAAATTGTATCAATTTCCTTGAACTTTTCAAAGAACCTACTTTTGGTTCTATTGATTGTATCAAAATCTTTTCCCTTCTCCATTTTTCAAATCCCTAACCCTTATTAGTTACTCTCTCTGCTGACTTTGGATTTAGTCTGGTCTATTTCTACCTTCTTAAGTTGTAAAGTCATGTTCTTCACTTGATAACTTTCTTCTTGTGGAATGCTCTAAATATGTCTGTTAGATAAAGTGGTCTTATTGTGTCAAGTTCTCTGTTTCTAATTTATTCTTCTGTAGTTGCTTCATCTATTATTGAAGAGAAGGTACTGAAATTTCTCACTAATTTTCTTCATTTATGCCTTCAATTCAGTTACATTCTTATTATATCTTAATGGTCTGTTGTTCTCTATGTAAATGTTTATAAGGTTTATATCCTCTTGCTGTGTTGAATATTTCATTACTTATAATATCTTTCTCTCTTATAAGTTTTTTTTTCCTTTTACTCAAAATTGATTTTATCTAATATTCCTACAGTTACCCTGCTCTATTTTGGTTATTTTGGATAATAACATTTTTTCAACTTTTTTTTAGTAATGTTGTGTCTCTTTACCTAAACTGCTGCTTTTTAGACAATGTATAAATATTTATGTTTGCCTTTTTGTCTAATTTTTATCTTTTTTATTGGATAATTTAATCCTTCCACATGAGCACTAGTAAACATCAAGAAGAAACTCTCTACATTTGCTTTATTTATGTCACATAGCATATCCACTTTGTTAGTTTGGCTTCTCATTTCTTGTGCTATGCATCTTACTATGTACCCAAGGGATTTTTGAGAAATACCTTTATTCCTTTCTCTTTCTCTTTGTGTGTATCCTATAGCTACTTAATTTGTGATAATGGGGATTACATTCAATATCTGGGACTCACAACCCTCTAAGTTGGATTGATACAGGAGAACAACCAAACACTCTGTTCTTTCATTGGTCAGACTTGCACTTTTCAGAGGTTTATTTCATATGTCCTCTACTTCCTTCACTTTAACCTGAAGGGCTCCATTAAAACTTTCCTGAAGGGAATTTCTACCAGTAACAAATTCCCTCTAATCTTACTTATCATGGAATGCTTCAGTCTCACTAATTCATGAGGGGCTTATTTTTGCCAGACACAGAAGTCATGGTTGGCAGAAACTTTTTGGTTAAATCCAAAGAAAGCTAAAATAATCATGTTAATCAAGAACAGAGAATCCCAAGAAATTAGGAGGGCTATATCAGAGATCAAATGTGCAACATATAACAACAAAGGAAAACAAAAGATGCACATAGAATCTTATGCCCTAGAGCTGGGTGATGGTGGTGCAGTATGCCTTTAATCCCAGCACTCAGGGAAGCAGAGGCAAGTGAGTTCAAGGCCAGCCTGGTCTATCAAGTGAGCTCCAGGACAATCAGAGCTACACAGAGAAACCCTGTCTAGAAAAAACCAAACAAACAAATATATATATATAAGTGTACAAAATTAACAGCCATATTGGTCTAGAAATTTTGAACTTAGGCTTTTCCATTTGTACAGGGGTAACACACTGTATTAAATATGTAAGGTCCTAAAAAAAAAAAAGAAGGGATTTTGAGAGCCCATCCCTTGTGAAGGGGTGCTCTCTTGACCTGGACACATGGGGAAGGGCCTAGGCCTGGCCCAGGATGATGTGGTAGACTTTGGGGAGCCCCTTTTGAGGGCTTTACCCTGCCTGAAGAGTGGAGGGGGGATGGCTAGGGGCAGGTGGGATGTTGTGGGGGAGGCGAGAGAAAGGGACAAGGGATTGACATCTGAAGCATGCTTGTTCCTAATTTGAACTAATAAAAAAAATATCCTCTTTGAGGAAAAACTATTTGTTTGGTTTGTATTGTACAATCTTTTATACTAACCATCAGAAAGTTAATTTTGTTGTTATCTCTATTTGGAAATCAGAGTATTTGAGAATGCAGTTAGGTGTTGTACTCATGACCCTTTGGGCAATGACAGACTGCAAATATAAAAGTGGTAGCTTTATAAATACATAATAGAGTTGAAAATTTCCTACCTCCTACTAACTCTATAGCTGCTGTAAATTTGAGGCAAAAACAAAACATTGTTCTTGTGCTTGTGGTATTATTCTATGTCATAGGCTTATAAACCAACCCACTTCACTTCTGTCATGTAGGCAGGGCAAATATGGTGATGTCTTCTACCAAACACTTGACTGTGTGCATTACTGGTTTATATACTATACTTACTGGTAGGTATGATGCTTTTAATGGTTACTGTGGAATCTACTCCTCCCATTATATATAAAAAGTGTTGACTGTAAGGCATGCTATGTCATGTAAGAAGAGCTACTTAGATCTGTGTTTATTATCTCTTGATTGTACCAAAAGACCACATCCCGTGATTGACTTATAACATTTAAATTCATATATGCTTTATGATCTTTTCACACTAATAGAATTTCTTAGTGGCATATTTCTCAATACACATCCCTTAGAACACATCTTCATCACTAAACAGCATGTCACTGCATATGGATGTCAGGTTTAGAATGCTGGACAGTGGTGGATTTGTCTACTATTATGGACAAATTTATATACTAATTAGTGGCTCAACTTATCGGAGACATCTGTTTCCTCAAATATCATTTACACTAAATATTTCTGTTAGCATCATCAGAAGAGATATTTGACAGAAGATTTAGAAACTAGAAATTAGGTTTAAAAGAAACTGTACTCTTCTCGATCTCTGTGGATAGTATAGGACATCAGTCACTGTAGCCAGGGAAGAATTCTTTTACTTATCATTTAGCTAACCCAGCTGTCATAGACTACCAGCAAAGCATGTCCTACTAATTTTGACTGATCTTCTTGGTTTCTCTGACTTCTGGACAAAGTGTTAGCATCAGATGAAGAGAGCAAGCTCTTCAGAAGGTCTGACACATCAGTGAGGTTGAGGGATTAGGGGCAGTGAGAGCCTCATGTAAATTTTGTCTGCATACCTGGCTTTCTAGCTCAGCCTCATGGGACCTAGATATTTTTTCCTTGTTCTACCTTACTTTATATTCATCTTTCTTTCCAAACTGACTGCACTGTTCACTTCAAGGCTCCATGCTAAACACTGAAGCGGTAACTTTTTCAATACTGTTTAACCAGCTGTCACAGTTGTCTAACTGAATCATTATAATA